ACGAAGTTGACACCCATCACCATCGTTCATGATTATTTTTGTTTCTAGGCATCTTTGATTAGCAAATATGGAAATATTTTACACCCAAATCATTAATCCAGCTACTAAGAATTATATTTGATAAATTCCATTTTAATTTTTTTTTTGAGTCGTTGTATTGGAAGCTCGAAGCATATAATTAGTTCAAGTTCGTAGGGAATTTTTATTTTTAAAAAACTAGTATGTATAGCCGTATGTGATAAGACAACACGTTGGAAATCCTTGAGATTTTAATTTTTTTTTTCTAATACACACAGTGATTTGTAGGGCTCGTTTAATATCACTGTTAGTTTTAGTTTATTATTTTATTATATTATGTAATATATGTTGTCAACTGTGAAAAGTTATATGATACTAAGTTAGATAGTTATGAAAAGTTAAGTACTTCGTAATTAACAATATAATGAACTTAAAATCAAATATAATACAGCTATTTCTAAAAGTTTGACTCACTATTATTGCTTTAAAATATAGTTTGTATATTTTTGCTATAATTTAATGCACATAATCCTCACGATTGTAGACTCTAAATGTCGGTAAAAAAAAAAATAAAAAAAAAAATCATATGTTATAGTAACTAAAATTGTGCACCTAATCATATCATGTATTAACCGAAAGTGGACGGTTCCATCATCTATATCAAAAGACCCCATCGAGGGTAGTGAGGATTCATGGCTATGGATAAAAGGGAAGCACTAGCTATAACAACATTAAACAACTTAAACATGATAAAATTTCTAGAACCTTGACATTTGAAGCTAATCATGCATCTTACATTAGCCTAACTGCTCAATAACTAAATCTTGTTCAAGTAATGTTAGCGACTTTGATTTGAATTCTGACTATATCGTACACAAACGCTTAGTCTTATCATTAGGCCAAGATTTCATTGGAAGTGAGATAAACTACAGTGTTTCAACATTGATGTGAGAATTGGCAGTGCAGCGTGCTTCTCTCCAATCCAACGTATCTTTAAAGATATTAGAAATCTCAATTTACAATTTCTTGTGTCTAAGTTTTCATATGTTAAGCGAGCTTGTAATACGATTGCCCACCTTGTTGCGAGGTGGGACACCAGAGACAATGTAGAATTTGTTTGTTTGGACGCGATGTAGAGTTTGTTTGTTTGGACGCGTTCTCTCAAAAGGCTCAAAAGTATAAATACATTGGCGGAGCTGGATTTAAGTTAAATAAAAATCGGGCTCATTTTTCTTCAAAAAAAATGTGAGAATTGGACGGTGTATAAAAGTGCCCATTAAATTGGGCTGGATAAAGCAATTAAAGTTGTGCTTATACTGGGCTGGTAGCGTTGTTCCTATATTGGGCCAGATAGAAGAGCGACATATAAATCAAAGTCCCAATTTGTTTAATGGACAAAGTGAGCTCTTCTGTTGCCAGCCTTTTTAACTTGTAAAACTGGAATTAAGAGATCAGGATCCAACAGATTAGGGATTTTTGTCTAATATAGATGTGATCCATAAAGATTGTGTAATGCACCAAGGATGTTAATAAACCGAGCCTAGGCGACCCAAGCCGAGTAGTACCCTGTGTATGAAATTTAGTAGTGTCAAAACCTGACCCAACTGACCCGTTTTGAAACCGACCTATAAAATACCCGGTTTAAATTTCAACTTGCATGGTCATAATAATTTGACATGACTTAAATTTGAAATAGATTCGATCGGACGCGACCCAGACATTTGAATTGATTTTTCTATGAGAACATATCATATAAGTGAAGAAATATTAGACTCGACCTTGTGACCCCAAAGACATCAACGTGTTTTATCCAATTGAACAGTTCCACAGCCAATCTATACTTTGTTTTTCAAAGTAGAGATTAGATCTAACAAGAGCAGAGAAAAGGACAGTTTAATTTGGTATGAATGGAATATATTCAATTCAAGAAGTGTTACGTCAAACACAAATCCAGCTACATACTTTATTTGAGCTGGGGTTTTTCAGGCAAATCCACACCATGTATATATTTATCACTAATTAGGAAATTATGAAGACAAATTCAGCAAAAGAGGATCTAAGAATAAGATTCTTTTCAATTTTTATGTTCTCACTTGCTATTATTAATAACTTAATTAATTAATTAATTCTAATGATGTAAATCTTATATCTATTAATTTACCTATGCTAAAAGCAGATCCTTTCATGACACTTGTCATTACCTTGTGAAATTTTCCCGCCTTTTTCCCCTCTTTTTTTTATTATTTTTTTTTTATTTTTTTGCAAAATCTTTAAGTGAACTATTTATACCTTGTGATATTTTCTTTCCAATTTGACAATCATATTCCATATATATATCCAAATGACATATTTCCGAATATCTTTTATATACTTTATGTAGTATTTTATAATATTATTGTCAAGAATATTTAACAACCGTACATTGCACGAGATTTTAACCTAGTATAAGAATACTCTTTCTCATAATCGTTTTTATACACGAATTAACTGAAACATTTGTTACACACGTGTTTACAGTAGAATTTTGTGATTTTATCCTTACGGCTTGTTGGCTAAGGTGAAATACCATCAACAATGTCATTATTATCTACAAAGAATATAATGTCTACTCCCACTTAATAATTTGACAAGTAATCTTATTTTGATAATCTTTTATAGGATAAAACTTATCCATTATTACAGAGCAATATGTTTGATTGTTGTACCTGCACTTGACACAAACGCGCATATATGTGTTGGACATGCAAAAGAAATCGGAAAAACATAGACCATATGTAAGTTCAATAATTTCTTACTCCCTTCGATTTTTTTAAATGTATCACTTTGATTTTTGCATTGTTTATATACTATAATTGACTTAATTTTTTTACCTCTAAAAAATAAATAAATGCTATTATATAACATATCATTAGATTAGTCATAATGTCTAATTTCATATTATAATTTTGTTACAATTTTTACTAATAGACAATTAAAGATATTAATGGTCAAAGTTGCGTCTCGGCAAATGTGTCGGTCAAATTGATGCAAATAAAAAATTAAAAAAAAAAAAAAAAAAAAAAAAAAAAAAAAAAAAAAAAACCAGAGGGAGTATTACATTACGGGCTACAAGCCGAAAATTGTTTGTTTCAACTTATAGTACAAAGTATCTTATTTTGCTTTAAGCAAAACAGGTTAATGTAGCTTTAGTCGAATTGAGATAAGCTTAGATAAGTTCAAACATAATGTACTCATTTGACTAACTCTCTCGCTCTTCAAATATTAACTTCTAATATGATATTAGGTAATACTACGTATATATTAATACATGTGTACACAAATGCACACAAAAAATCTAAATTAATTAATTAGCTAGGATTATTGGATGATCGAGAGTTAGGACACTAGGAATTCGACATGCCATTTCTAAAACAAAGTCAAAAGGAATAAAAGAAATTCACACAATGATCTTAAAGTAGGCAACTGCATCAGCATGCTCCGTCCTCCTATATGGCTATATCATTAGTCAATTGTACAGATAATTTGACCATGCATTGGACATGTAAGTATAAAATAGATGCTCTATTACTTATACTCCCTCCATTTTCCTACTTTGTGCTACGAGTATACGAAGTATATTATTAAAGAGGAGTTGCATAATGCTTATACATTAAAAATTGAATATTTTAATTTTGTTTGACAAAATGACAATAAATCTAATATATCTACATCTATATCTATGCTATTAACGTTTGATTTATGTTCAATATTTACATTTTTATCTCATTATTAAATGTATTTCTTGGGGTTGTATATTATTTTTAGTTAATTTTGATTAATTTCAATGAAACAAAATTAATTTGAATTTAAATTACTTGACCCAAGTGCTTCAACATTTTAATCATTAATAATCAACAATTCACTAACTTTTTATACGGTAATTCAATTTAGCTCGTCTTGTGTGTGGCTGGCCACATCGTCTGTTCACTTTCAAAAGAACAAAGTAACCCTTATAATACTGACTAAGTAAACCCTGTAATGCTGACCGCGTTAACCCCTATAACTTTGACCGAGTAACCCTATAACACTGACGAAGTTACCTCTTTAACACTGATGAAGTAACTCCTATTACATTAACGAAGTAACCTCTATAATGGCTGGCCACACGGTATGACTAGCCACATATAAGAATTTGTGAATTCAATTAGGTCCAAATATAATCTCAAGTGATTGGAAATCTCACAATGTGCCGCCAGGAGTTCCCCCCACGCTCCCCGGCCCTACGCCGGAGTAAACTTGACAAGGAAGACTAGTAGCTGCTGAGTAGAAGTAATCCTCAAACACATTTATTACTCGTAGTACCCATTAATAATAAACATCTAGAATACTACGTCGACAATGACCTTACCACACTGTCCACTTCAATTAAAATGACCATTTCTTTTAATTAATTAAATTTATAAAACACCTTCCTTACTCCTCCTATTACTAATAAATGAAAAATAAATTAAAAACTTTTTTCAATTTTATCCAATAATCTACTGCCACGACACGGTTACTGGTGAATAGTCAGCCAACCTAACCCAAATGAGCCTATCTAATTCCCTCCACAACACCTTTCTTTTTTATTTTCACAATTTTCTTTTTCCCATACTTTTAATTAATTTGGGTAAGCAAAATTTTCCACTTTCTTAGAACATGCAACTTCAACTTTTGTGACCTCTGCTATATATATATATATATATATATATATACCCTCTCATTCCCACTCTTCAATCTCTCCTTCATTCCTTTCAAATATTATAAGTTTATAACCAATTTCAAGTATTTTTGCCATTTGTCTATCCTTAAACCTTATAACGAGTACGTCCGTACGTATTTCAAGGTACATATATATAGATATATCAACCGTTTCTTTTTAGTTGCAATTGTGTGTATCAGTCAGTGATATCACGTTACGCGTCATTTGAAGAAGCTAGCTACAAAAAACAAATATTTGCAAAATGGGAAACCATTGTTGTGCAATCCATGGTTCATCGACAGTGGCGGTTTGGACCGAAGACGATTGGGGATCCAATACATCGGAGTCCATGGAAAAGAAAGAGCTCCTTGGTGGTTGTAAGGAATCATCCTCTACGGTAGGGACTACGGGAAATCAAGTGAGAATAAGGATCTCAAAGAAGGAACTTGAAGAGTTGCTAAAGAGGGTAGAAGATAACAAGAGTGGGACCCAATTTAAGAAAATGAAGGCCAATCAAGTTTTGCAAAATTTGATTGATAAAAGTGATCATTTTGAGATCCATAATCAACGGTCGTGGATGCCCGCCCTTCAAAGCATTCCTGAGGTGAATTGATGAATTGTAACATTATATTATAATTATATCCTATAGTTTGCTAGTTGCATGTATATATATATTGTATAGTGTGTATATATGCATGTAATACGTACATATTACGTGTATTTTAATATTAATGTAAGCGGTTTTAGAGAGGGAGATAATTAAGCTTTAAGCTAAAGGAGTTGGTTGATTAATTCTCTCCTTTCCTTTTGTTATACTTCATTTTCCTTCTCTTAAGGGACGTGATGTACAAGTTCTTTTCGTTTCTTTTTTGCGTTTGAAATGTCTATCTGTAAAGCGGGATGTTTCTTATTGCAATAGACTTATCATTGTTGATTGATGTCGAGAAATACACGCACGTGTACTATAAGTCTATAAGTAAGTTATTTACACTTATACACCAAAATATAAAGTTAATAGCCTTCGTTCGTTACTATTTGTCATTCATTATTAGTAGGATTAATTATTTGCGATAAAACTTTAGTTGGATTAGTTTTCAAATTTTACTTTTCTCCGTCTCTCGCGTGTGTATATAAATCAGCATGTTTCTTATATATACCAATTACTACGTATATGAGTATTGTAATTTATTGTCCTTTTTCTTGTTATAGATCTTCTTTATTTGTAGTTTTTAACAAGTACCATGGAAGGTGCCTTAGCTTGTTTTGGGGGGGGGGGGAGTAGTGAAGATTTAATCAAAGTTTGAACTATTGCAATTTTCCAATCTCTAGCTAACAAATTGTGAATGGTACTACTTCTTAAAAAGTCAAGAGTTCAATGATACTTGAAGTTAATGTAAACAATATACTCGTACTATATCAGTATACTTCCTCCGTTCCAATAATATCAATATACTTGTATTTGTTTTGTTTTTAATTATTTTTCCTTTGGATGGATTAAGTATTAGTCCTATAATGTGGATTTTGAAGTTGATGAGAAGTTCATTCCTTTTTCAGAAGCTAAGCAAGAAGAAAATAAGATCTATAATACCCAATTAAGAAAGGGAAGAAGAGATAGAGTCGTAAGATTTACTATAATTTATGCATGTTGCTACTCAATAAAGTGAGAGGTCGTGTAAAATTATGCCTACACTAATTGTTACATAAAAATTCTCTATAATAGTTGGACATGTTCATACTTTATCCATCATTCATTTTTAATTTGGTAGGGTATTATACTAAAATTAGTTCCACTTGCAAATGCATACTTTCATCCATTAATATATATTTCCGACAATAAATAAGTAAAAATTATATAAGAAATTCGATGTACTAATAATATAAATTGAAACAAATATAGCAGGAGTATAACACAATGAGTCAGTGACTATTCTTAATTATCAAAAGAAGAGAGATTGTCATCACTAAGCCTAGCTACCCTATTATCTCTGTATTATCATGATTCGTTAATTAATGTAAGGTTTGGCAAGAACATTGTCACTCTGACATTATGCTTAATTTAATGACACTTCCCATCCTTTTTTTTTCCTCTCAAATCTCTCTCACAAAATTTAATCTGTAGTTCTATACTTACCACTTAGGGTTAATAACCATCTTAAATTTTTTTGTTTTTTTGATGATCTACTTTTATTAAATTTAAGACCAGTTCTATTTTTATATTTTTCATAAAACCGTTAGATCTCAATCCGAAGAGTCATCTAAGTATTTTTTATGCTCGTCTCGGTCAATACTCGCCTCTTCTTATGACATGCTAAGACCAAAGTTGTGGTATTTGTTTTACTCAATCTTCGACTTTACTCAATCGTTGCTTTGGGAGGTATTCGCGTTTGGCGTACTTCCTTAACCTATACATTTAATGTCGAAAATTGGTTGGCTAGTTGTCAACAATCTCAACACAAACACAAGGCTCAAAATCATCTCCATTTGATGTTTTTGACAAAAAGAGTGCTCAAGTGGGTTTTCTAAACAAGTCTAGCCCAACAATATGGGCCCAAATTACAGCAATGGTGGGACTAGAGTGTACTAATTGAGTAATTAGAGAGTAAATATATGTACGAAAATGGAAATGGAGATGGATCTATAGTAAATTGGTCGTGTTGGTGATTAGTTGATTACTAATAGTATTAAAAATGTGTATTAGCATTATACAAGATGTACACTTCAAATCACGTCTAATTCGTACAATTTATATACATGTTAGTGTTTAATAGATGAATGTTTCAAATATGAAGTTTTTTACATCGAAATTATGTTAAATTGTCACATTAAATTAAAGAAAGTAAAATAAAAATAAAAATAAAATAAAGAAAGTCAAATTTATAAAATATTTTCCTACTACCCGACTTCATAACTCCTAAGTATACTAAAGAACTATTATAATACACCATGTGTCGATTCTCATCACTCATCCTTGTGGCTCTCTAAGCACCAAAAAAAATAATATATCATGTGTAAAATTCAATATTTTTTTTATTTTATTTTTTTTATTCAAAGAAGTGTTAAATTTAGTTTATTCAACAAAGATCAACTTTTAATTAGTAAGGATTAGTAATTACTAAAAAAATTATGATAACTCCTTTGTCACAAATCACAAGTTCACAACACTACTCAATTATAAACTCGTTATACTTTCTTGATTTTTAAGATCATATAAAACTATAATCAATTGAATTAGTAATATAATCGATCAAATAGAATAATGCTTTACTCATAAATCCTACACTACATTCTGAGGTATTATAGTAAAGTCAACTAAGGAGGTATTTTTATATTAAATGAATAAATTACGATACTTTCTCTAAATCTATTTTGTTCATTTTATTCCAATTGAGAAATATCAAATATTTAAAAGAACAAATAAAGACGGACCGAGTAATAAAAAAAACATCTCTACCCAAGGGCGGATCTATGTTGATCCTTTGATATGTTTGAGTTGGGGGTAGAGGCAGGCAATTAATGGGAGCATTAAATGAAACAATGCTGTTGTATATGAGTTAGCGCACCCTCTATATTTCCACCCTCCTTCCGTCCTTCGTCTTATTTTTTTTCCCCTAAAAATGTTTTTTTTTTTTTTGAAAGATTTTCTTAAAAATATTTAATTTAATTTATTCTGTGTAAAATAATGTTGTGCGACAGCGGAAGCAAAGGTCGTAAACAAACAAGAAAACAATAAAGAAATTCAATGCAAACAATAAGAACAACACCAAGAATTTACGTGGTTCACTATCGATGTGATAGCTACGTCCACGGGCACCGAGATCGAATGATTTCACTATAAACTGCAAAGATTACAAAGATGATTCTTGTATTTCTCAAGAACGGCTTTCACTCTGTCTCTCTTAACCCTAATACTGATATTAGGGAGGTTTTATATTAATCCCTAATTAAAAGATACTTGGGCAAAAAGATAATAAAATAAGATAACCTAAAACCGCAAAATCCGCGTTCCGTATTTTTCCTTCTCCGCCCGGTCAGACCGGGCAAGGTCTGCCCGATCGGGCGCGAGAAGAAAACTCCATACGAATGCTTCAACGTATCCAACCCCCACCGCCCGGTCAGACCGGGCAAGGTCTGCCCGATCGGGCGAAGGCTCGCCCGGTCGGGCGCGAGAGCAGCTTCTTCAACGAATTTGCCAGGCACCTCTTCTTCTTCCGCCCGGTCAGACCGGGCAATGTCCGCCCGATCGGGCGGACAAAGCTACGAAGTACGAGTCACCTAATATACTTATCAACAATCTCCACCTTGACGAGAACTCGTAGTCAGCAAACGACCCCATCAAGACATAGTGAAAAAACATCTCAAGCCAAACCCGATGCAGGACTCATGCATAAGCCATACATCCCGATAAGTCTTCAACCAAGACCCATCACATACTCGTCTCCAAGTATAACAACTCATAATGCTCCACCTGCATCACAAGCCCCGGGCAAGCTCCACCTTAATGCCAACACACCTACACCAGGAGCTCCCCAACTTCGCCCCTCAGGGCCTACTACATCACGTAGTAATCAATATTTAGCAAGTCTAAGCAATGTTTAAACTTGCTAAACGGAACAGGCTTAGTGAAGAAATCAGCCGGGTTGTCAGCAGTCCCAATCTTCTTCACCTTAATCCTCTTGTCAGTACGTAAGAAATGATACCTGACATCAATGTGCTTCGTCCGATCATGGTGTACTTGATCTTTAGCTAAGCAAATCGCACTTAGACTATCACAATACACTGTAGCAAAATCCTGTGCAATACCCAGTTCACCTACTAGGCCTTTGAGCCAAATAGACTCCTTAGCTGCAGAAGTTAGAGCCATATACTCAGCTTCAGTAGTTGACAACGTAACTGATGACTGCAATGTAGACTTCCAACTAACCACAGAACCACCCAAAGTGAACACATAACCAGTCACAGACCTCCTGGTATCCACATCAGCTGCATAATCAGAATCACTGTACCCAGTGACCAAGCATTCCTTACCATTCCCGTACACAAGACCAATATCAGCTGTCCCTCTCAGGTAGCGAAAAATCCTTTTCACCCCTTGCCAGTGTTCCCTCCCAGGTCGAGCCATAAACCTGCTTACAACACTAACAGCATGCGCAATATCCGGCCTAGTACAGACCATAGCATACATCAAACAACCAACCGCGTTTGCATATGGAACTCTAGACATATAAGACAACTCCTCCTCTGATTGAGGTGACATAGACAAAGACAACTTACAACTAACAGTAGTTGGCGTACTTATAGGCTTCGATTTTTCCATCCCAAAACGAGACAGAATCTTTTCAATGTAGCTTTTCTGAGTCAAGAAAAGCTTACCTCTAGCCCGATCCCTGTAGATCTCCATACCCAAAATCTTCCTAGCTGCACCCAAGTCTTTCATGTCAAACTCCGAGTTAAGCATCTCCTTTAATCTAGCAATATCAGATTTATTCTTTGTGGCAACCAACATGTCATCAACATATAACAAAAGATAAATCATGGAACCATTATCCAGCTTACTATGATACACACAGCAATCATATGAATTCCTGTCAAAACCTTGTGAAACCATAAAAGAAT